ACACTGTGAATACTGCAGGGTCAGAGGAGATCTGCCGCAGTGAGCAGCAGGTTTTCCCACTAAGCATTTCCCCTGAGGAGGCGTCTTCTCGGATTCCCAGGTGGCAGAGTGGTAAAGAATCCTCCTGCCAGTGCAGGAGATGCAAGAGACGAGGGTTCAATCCCTGAGTGCGGAAGATCCCCTGGAGTAGGAAATGGCAACCCACTCTAGTATTTCTTGCCTGAAAATTCCATATGCAGAGGAGCCTGGTGGGCTGCAGTCCATGGGGTCACAAAGAGTTGCACATGCCTGAGTGACTGAGCACACACACACGAAGGCATAGGGTGTCTTCTGCAGATGAGAACGTGACTCAGTAAGGGAACCCCAGATATGACCAGAGACAGAACTTCTGCCATTTAGGAGCTCATGAACAACTGCGTAACATATAGAAGTTGGTGAATGCCATCGTGGAAATGTACAGAATCTGGTTTGGAAACACACAGACCTCTGCTGTGGTTGGCAGGCCTTGGGATGGAGGACTTGGTTTCCCTTTACTCCTTGTGGCTTTTCTCAGTCCTCTTCATCAAGTTCAGCCTGTGCTTATGTCCTTATTGGTAGATTTGGGATAGCCACGTAGCCTTCCAGGGTTGCTCTGAACATCAGTTGAATTAGTTCCTGAAACCACTTTGTAAAGTGAAATATGAATAAAAGATTCTTCTCTGTGGTGGCATGAGGTTCATCCTGTGAGCCTCACTGTGTCCCACGGAAGCGTGGTCCTCCCCTGTGGAGCCGGGCGTGTCTGCAGGGCGCTGAGAGCCTGCTGCCTATGCGGGGTCCACACACGTGGGGTTCTCTAGCATGTGCCCTCATCACTTTTCTGAAAGCACAGAACAGGCCGGCAGAAAGAGTGGTGTCTTGTTTTGTGTGATCCTGTCACAGTGCTTTCAAATTGTGGTCCTGGAGAAGACACATGAGAGTCCCTTTGACAGCAAGGAGGTCCAACCAGTCCATTCTAAAGGAAATCAACCCTGAGTGTTCATTGAAAGGACTGATGCTGAAGCTGAAGCTCTAATACTTTGGCTACCTGATCCGAAGAATTGACTCATTGGAAAAGACCCTGATGCTGGGAACGATTGAGGGCAGGAGGAGAAGGGGACAACAGAGGATGAGATGGCTTGATGGCATCACTGACTCGATGGACATGAGTTTGGGTAAACTCTGGGAGATAGTGAAGGACAGGGAAGCCTGGCGTGCTGCAGTCCATAGGGTTGTGAAGAGTCAGATACAACTTAGTGACTGAACAACAACAACAATTCCTGTCATGAGAGCCATGTGCGTAGTTAGAACTGCTGCCCTCAAATTTGCATTTTTGAGCACCTAGAGATGAGATGGTATGGTTACGACTTGCCCACAATCATACCAGTGAGGAGGGATTGAGAAGCAGAAGCAAGAAAGCAGCTTTTGCCTCTCAACTTACTTGTTGGGAGAATTCATTTTATGAGTCTTCCTGAAATCATCACCCATGAAGTTCAGCTTACTTTGATGGAAAATTGAGTAGGTTAATGAAATATTTAAACTTATGTTCACTTTCTTAGCAGAGAACTATTTTGAGTTCCCTGAAAGAAATATGTAATCTTCCTGAAGAATTACCATAGTACCCTCTGCTCTACTTTTGTGAGGAGTAAGATGGATGTCTTGAGAAGTTCTTTTATCCTTGCTTATAAGAAAATGAAAGTGTCTGCCAGTTTAAAATGAACATGCCGTCTGCTGGTTGTAATGCAGAGATAGCAGCATGCAGTTAAACATGTTGCTGGCAGTCCGCCGTTCTGGTACCACCGCATTTGTGAATTTGCCTCATCACCTCCCTAACTTGGAGTGCAGATTTTGTAGTGATAATTCACAATCTCATCTTTGCACATTTGTGGTGGTCACAGTAGACACTTGTTAAATGAGTGTTCTCTGAACTGAAGTTCTATCCTCTGGTTCAGCCTCATCAGCTTCAAATTTTACTGAAGGACAATGGAACAGTGATTTAGATTTCAAGTATGTGGTGGGGCAGGGAGAGAATGCTGCTTTACCATTGTTCTTCTGCCCCATTCAACTAGTGTTCACCTGTCTCCAACTTAAAAAAAAAAAGAAGACTGTTGGGTGAGATATCCTTTAATTTCCTATGTGCCAGGGCTATTTTTTATAACCCTGTGCATTGTCATCCTACTTCCTTCAGCCTCAGGGTAAAAAATTGCTTCTTCATCAGTAAACATTGCCCTTCCATGGGTCCTTGACTCCATCTCTTACCTGCTCACTGGCTATGCCTCGACCTCCCGGCTTTATTTTCTATCCTATCTGTAGCTTTTGTTTATCTGGGTTTTTTTTTTTTTTTTTGGTTATAATCTATAATTGCTCAAGTGTCTTTTTGTCCCAGTGTTTTCTGCCATGTTCACTGGTAGCTACTCCCACGTCAAGCTCTCCTGACCCATGTCCTCACAAGCCTTGGCCAGCTTCCCCTGTGTTTGTGACTTTCCCATCCACTCTTTCATTCACTTCACCACCCCTACTGACCAAAAACTGCTCAGGACGTGATCGTGGGTGATTTTTTAACTGGTAATTCTGACAAATTTTTCATTAGCACTTTATCTGATCAGACTTCCCGCCTGCATGTAATTTCTCCTTGAAACTTCACTTGCCTTTCGTGTCACTGTTGTTTTTCTTCTTGTACCTCTTAAGTTGTCTCTTTTCTGTCGCCCTGATGACCATTCTCTCCACTCAGCCCTCAGATTGACATTCCTCAGGGTGCCTCTTGGAGCCTCGTAACCACTCCTTCCAACACCACTGCCGCACACTGATGACTCCTAAAGTGTCTTTGCAGTCTAGACCTTTTCCACATCCTGTGGCTTCTGTGGCCAATTTCCAGGTGAATATCTTAGTCTAGATTTCCTCTGATTGCGTCCCAGTTCTCAGCGCTTCTCCTAAGCCTCTTTCCTGTCTGTGTGTGCAAGTCAGAAGCACGGGATGCATGTATTCCTCCTCCACTCCCATGTCTGCATCCGATCCATCAGCTGGCTTCCGCTGGTGCTGCTTTCCCGACTCAGCCCTGCCTTTCTAGTTTTCCACTGCAACTTCTTGGTTCTTTTCTTTCATCACCTGACATCACAGAGGCCACTCTGAACTGATCTTCAGTGTCTGATTGAGTCCTTCTCCACTATGCCCTTCACGGAACTCATAGAGTGGTCTGTGATATGAAAAGGTGATCATTTCGCTTCCCTGAGTCACACCATATATTGTCCTGTTCCTGCTTCCACTGCTGACATCAGTGTTTCTGAAAATGGTTTCATAGATACATGAGTGTGCTGAAGGACGTTCAGTCATTTCAGTATTGTGGGGATGCTTTTGTTGTTGTTCAGTCACTCAGTTGTGTCTGACTCTTTGCCACCCCATGGACTGCAGCACGCCAGGCTCCCCTGTCCTTCACTATCTCAAGGAATTTGCTCAGATTCATGTCCGTTGAGTTGGTAATGTCATTAAACCATCTCATCCTCTGTTGCCCTCATCACCTTTTGCCTTCAGTCTTTCCCAGCATCAGGGTCTTTTCTAATAAGTCAGTTCTTTGCATCAGGTGGCCAAAGTATTGGAGCTTCAGCATCAGTCCTTCTAGTACATATTCAGGGTTGATGTTGTTTAGGATTGACTGCTTTGATCTCCTTGCAGTCCAGGGGACTTTCAGGAGGCTTCTCCAACACCACTATTCAAAAGCATCAAGTCTTCGGTGCTCATCCTTCTTTATGCTCTTAACTCTTCACACCTGTACATAACTACCGGAAAAATCATAGCTTTGACTATGCGAACCTTTGTTGGCAAACTGATTTCTCTGCTTCTTAATATACTGTCCAGGTTTGTCATAGCTTTCCTTCCAAGGAGCAAGTGTCTTCTAATTTCATGGCTGCAGTCACCATTTTTACTGATAATCATTTCACAAACAACCTTTTTGTGTTTATGATGACATCTCTGCCAAAGAGTTACATAAAGTTACTAAGTTAAGCCTTAACTGTAATATGTCTCAACTGATCCTCGTGGTTATATATATAGTTTCAAAGATCTATGATATATATGCATACATACACATACATATATATATGCACATACATACAAATATATGTGTGAATATGTATATAAACACAGATGTAGACACATATACTTGGATAATTATAAACAAATATGCATGCATATATATAATTTGTTTATATATTTTTGTATATTAGGTCTATGCATGTGTTTATACATAATTTTTCCAGATTACACTCACTGTGAACATTAATAGAATTTTAAATAAAATTATACAGAATGTATATTCTGAGGTCCTCAATCTCAGGTTTTTTTGTGATTTGGGCTCTGCGTACGTGTCTAATGTAATCAGTCTCTTATCTTATATTTTCTGTAAAAGGAACGTGAAACTACTGGTGGCTCTTATAAGTACAGCATTTTGCTTTGTCCTCTTAAGTCTGTGCGTTTTGCTTACCCTTTGGTCAGTGAAATTCTCTGCTCGTCCCCCTGTTCCTCGAACTTTTAACTTGGAGCTCCTGGCTTGTATCTTATAAATTAGTTCTGTTACCTCTTCCAGGAGGCACTGACCTAACCTGGGTGTGATGTGCAGTGGCCCCCCCCTGTTTTCGTGGACACACCTGTTATTCTGCAGGTACCTGTTGGGATCCGTACTAGATGCTGACTTCTGTCAGGTTCTGTGGCCTCTCTTCTGTGTCTTTCAGGCGTGGCCTTGATGAAAGTTAGTGACCTGACAATATGTTGGGCTAATCACCATACTTTCTCCCAGATATAGAACTTTTCTACAGTCAGTCCAAGCAATTTCATTCACATTTCTCCTCTATGTAACTTTTACACTACAGCTTCTCAAATGTCTCAGTATGTATTTCATGCTTCATTTAGTGTTTTAAGTTAGAAAAATCAGTGTCTAGTTTGAAGAAATGTTAGCCACCAAAAGATAATGCTTATATTCTCTTCCATTTCAGGAGACCCATCTTCCCAGGTGCAGGCTCAGGAACCTAAAAGTTCTGAAAATACACCAACTCTGCTGGAAGATTCCGGGTGTTATTTATCAAGTGAGCAGCAGACACCCTCAGAGACACCCCAGTGCTTTGGGGAGGGCTGGACCCCCACCCCCTTCTCATCACTGCCCATTGGGAGTAGACCTTGTGCCCCCCCAGAAGAGCCTCTGTCTTCTCACATGCACTTCTTGCAACATCTGCTTGGACTGAAGAACCTGACTGAGTCAGAGCACCTGAAAACAGACTTCAGCCACTTTGAAAATGCCTCTGCCACAATAGCAGATTCTGTTTTTCAGTTGCTGGATGGCTTGATCACTTTTTACCAAGCACCCAAACTTCCTTGTTCAAGCTTTTGGACAGAAGCTATTGATACTTTAGCTAGACTGATTGATGATTGCAACTTATCTAATCATATTCTTAGAAAGTGTTCCAAAAAGTTGGAAGAGTTTGAGAAGACCCTGCTGCAGGCTATTTTAAGGAACAGTCAAATCAATCGGGTAAGTAGCACGTTTCTTTTATGTGTGAAATAGCGTGTCAGTGATTTGAGTGAGCACACCTAGTGGGTAATGTCTGTTGTGGTCACTTAGCCTCATGGCCCAGAATCTCCAGCTGGACATTGCTTTGTAGCCATCTGCAGCTCTGACTTGTCCTCACGACCCAGCTTTAGGTTCTGATGAATGGCTTTTTTCTCTGTGTAGGTGCCTGTGTTTTAAGCTGTGCTTCTCCACTTTGTGGCTGGTTTTGTTGCCCAGTCGTGTCCGACTCTTTGCGACCTCATAGACTGTAGCACACCAGGCCTCCCTGTCCATCACCAGCTCCTGGAGCTTGCTCAAACTCATGTCTATTGAGTCGGTGATGCCATCCAACCATCTCATCCTCTGTTGTCCCCTTCTCCTCCTGCCCTCAATTTTTTCCCAGCATCAGGGTCTTTTCCAGTGAGTAAGTTCTTCCCACCAGGTGGCCAAAGGATTGAAGTTTCAGCTTCAGCATCAGTCCTTCCAATGAATATTTAGGACTGATCTCCTTTAGGATGGACTGGTTGGATCTCCTTGCAGTCCAGGGGACTCTCAGGAGTCTTCTCCAGCACCACAGTCCAGAAACATCAATTCTTCGGTGCTCAGCTTTCTTTATAGTCAAACTCTCACATCCGTACATGACTACTGGAAAAGCCATAGCTTGAACTACATGGAGCTTTGTCAGTAAAGTAATGTCTCTGCTTTTTTAATACACTGTCTAGGTTGGTCATAGCTTTTTTTCCATGGAGCAGGCGTCTTTTAATTTCATGGCTGTAGTCACCATCTGCAGTGATTTTGGAGCCCAAGAAAATAAAGTCTCTCACTGTTTCCATTGTTTTCTTATCTATTTTCCATGAAGTGATGGGACTGGATGCCATAATCTTTGTTTTTTGAATGTTGAATTTTAAGCCAACTTTTTTACTCTCTTTAGCTTTCATCAAGAGGCTCTTTAGTTCTTCTTCACTTTTTGCCATTAGGGTGGTGTCATCTGCATATCTGAGGTTATTGCTATTTCTCCTGGAAATCTGGCTTCCAGCTTGTGCTTCATACAGCCCAGCATTTGTCATGATGTACTCTGCATATAATTTAAATAAGCAGGGTGACAATATACAGCCTTGACGTATTCCTTCACCAATTTGGAACCAGTCTGTTGTTTCATGTCCAGTTCTAACTGTTGCTTCTGGACCTGCATACATATTTCTTAGGAGGCAGGTCAGGTGGTCTGGTATACGTATCTCTTTCAGAATTTTCCATAGTTTGTTGTGATCCACACTGTCAAAGAATTTGGCATAGTCAATAAAGCAGAAGTAGATGTTTTTCTGGAACTCTCTTGCTTTTTCGATGATCCAGTGGATGTTGGCAATTTGATCTCTGGTTCCTCTGCCTTTTCTAAATTCAGCTTGAACATCTGGAAGTTCACAGTTAGTGTACTGTTGAAGCCTGGCTAGTAGAATTTTGAGCTTTACTTTGCTAATGTGTGAGATACATGCACTTGTGCAATAGTTTGAACATTCTTTGGCATTGCCTTTCTTTGGGAGTGGAATGAAAACTGGCCTTTTCCAGTCCTGAGGTCACTGCTGAGTTTTCCAAATTTGCTGGCATATTGAGTGCAGCACTTTAACAGCGTCATCTTTTAGGATTTGAAATAGCTCAACTGGAATTCCATCACCTCCACTAGCTTTGTTCGTACTGATGCTTCCTAATAATAATATGACTTTATTATTATTTTTTGTTTCCCTTGTGTATTTAACATGGTTTTCAATGACTCAGGGATTCTTTTATTGCAAGTGACATTCAGGTAACCTGAAATTGTTTTGCCGCTTGGCTCTTGAGACATAATACAGAGCTTCTTTCTTGCATAACTTTGTTATCTTCCTCAGTATCTGGTCCTTCGTAAATGCCTTCACATTTTAATCCTTTTTAGTTGAGTACTAAAAATGTCAAAGAGGAGACCAAGAGGCCCGTCTAACTTATTTACTATATCTCACTGGGTAAGAGGTTCACAGTGTTGTTGGACCTTGTTTCTCTCGACAGCTGTCTGTCCAGCGTTTGTCCCCCATGTCATTGTCTAATGCTCAGGGTTTTGTACAACATAGGGCTTTACCTGAATTTTCCAAACTCTGACATAGGTGAACTGATAATCCAGTTTGTTGTGCATCCATCTTTCCTTTTCCTCTCTATTAAGATGTAACTTGATCAGTATTATAGAAAACTTTATGATTTAGCTCTTGACATTTTGAAAGATACTGAACTTTCTGTCTGGGAAATGGAAATTTCTTTTTCTACCTAATACGGTCCATCAGAAACTAAGTGTCAGATTATCCATGGTCTATATCTGACATAAATAATTTGTTCCTTGCTGCTGTTGCTGCTAAGTCTTAGTCATGGATAAATGCCTCAAGATACTTAATATTTCTTAATTTGTGTTTTTTTTTTCAATCTTTTTGCTTTGTTCTTTTAATACTGCTTTAAACAGGTTTGTATGTGACTTGGACCCTTCCAGATACTGTCATTCATATTCCTTATCAGTTACCAGATGATGCAAATATTTTTTGAGCCTAGTTTTTCTCTTAAGGATTGGCCCAAACAAGAATAGTTTTGGAAACTATATGTGTAGTAGAAGCTTATCATGGTATAATTTGGTCTGAAGTGTATTTTTATACCATTTATCATGGCACAAGTCACTGAAGAATGAGTGAATGCATGGCTTTGTTGTTTAGCCAGTATATCATTGTTATCTTAGTCTTATGTCTGTCTGGGGAGCTTAACTTGGGTTGAGCTGTCCTCCACTTTACATACCTCTACTTTACTTGGAAAGGTAATTGTTGCCATTTAGAGAAAGTAGGGTCATAAAATTGCTCACTACATTCACAATTAGAATGATGGTTCATAAATAAATTTTAATGACATTATCTCTGGGGATTTTTTTTCTCCCCAGCAAAAGCACTTTAGATTAAGTCATTCAAACTTTGGTAATTGTTGCTACCATCATCATCATTATTACCATTGTCATTTTCTTCCAGATATGTTCATAAGCCTTCTTTAGTAGAAAAATTGACTAACAATTACTATGTAAATGCTTTTCTATGCTTTTTTTAGCTTTCTTTGACTAATAAATAGAATCTTAAAAAAGAATATATTCTGAAATGAAATACAGGATGGCTCCTTTTATTGTATTTTTATGATACTATTCTTGATTTACTAAAACAAAATACCATAGTTCAGAGAAAAAAGATACTTTGGAAAAAAACTGTTTCCATAGTTTGGAAGTGCTTAATTAATTACATTTCTTAAAAAACATGATTTGTGCTATTGATTTTATTAAACCTGTTTTTGTGTGATGTATAGGAAGGGGTGTGGTATGAATCCTTTAATATTCTGACTAAGGAATTCATGTATTTATAATTCTTATAAGCCAGGTTTTAAATAAAATATTCAGCAACATGTTTTCAGTACATTCAGTAGTAAAATTTTTCTGACCACAACTTAGTATTTATTGAATGATATCAGTAAGAACTTGGTATTTTTCAGAATTTTGAGGCATCATGGTGAATATTAGTTATATCAGGATTATATATATATATATATATACATATATATGCAGAATATATATATACATATATATGTTCAAGAAAGAGGAGACTGGAATGAGATATCTTGAAGATTGTTTGGAATAATTCCCTGATAGTAGCTTGGTTAAAATTTATTAATAAATGTAGGGTAAGATATTTGATTCATGACTTTTTTTTAGATTTGGATAAATCTGATGTATTTTTGTGCTTTTTTAATATAACTTTTTATTATGTTTATCCAATAGCTTTTTTTTTTTTTAGGAATTATTGTCTTAGTTTCATATCTGTCCTATATTTTTAGGATAGCCAGTTGTAGGATTTGCAGGTATAATCTACACTGACATTTGACAGGTATCAAAGATACCTGGCCTGAAACCAGGTCACCTACAGAGGTCTGCATTGGTCCTGCTCTCAGGGTCCTGGGAATCTGTCTTGACTTAACTTGGGCTGAGCTGTCTTCTACTTACAGGCCCCGGTATGGCCCTTTCCTCGTTTGCCTCTGTGCTTGCTTGGGGTCAGGGAGGTTTCCCTTTGAGTTATTTAATGCCCTTTGTTTGACAGCCTGACCTTCCCTATATTTCTTGACATCAAAATGTGTTAATTTCTGTAATTAGAAATAGCATGAACTAATCCTAGTACTGTACATTATTTCTTCAGAGGCCAGGATATCATCATGGAAGTTTAACACTAGAATGCTTACAGTTGTATTTAGATTTTTCAATAGTATCTTTGTCTTAAATTGTCATTTAGGAAAGTGAATGATGATATGAATTTAAGTATCAAAACCTATAGTTATCATTTAGCTTTTTATATATTTAGCAAATGTTGCTAAATCTTAAGAGACTTAATAATGAGTTGCTTAGAAAATATATTCCTTTTATTTTTTTAAACTGTAAAGCAACTCTTGGACATATTCTTTATGAAATTGAAAAATAAAACACTGACTACAAGTAGACATCAAATTAGAGACTTGTGTGTGTATGGTAAGCAGAATAACGGTCCCCCAGAGATTTCTGCATCCTAAACCCTAGAGCTTATGAATATGTTCTATTGACGTCATATATCTTATATGATGGTGGGGGTGGGGCTGGGGAATTAAGGTTGCTATCAACTGACCATGGGGTGAGATTAACCTGGATTACCCATGTGGGCTCAGTACTCACAAGGGTCCTTGTAAATGAAGGAGAGAGGCAGGAGAGGCAGCATCTAAATCCAGAGAATTTTGAAAATGTGTTGCTGTTTGCTGTGGACATGAAAAAGTTGGCTTCAAACTCAACATTCAAAAAACTAAGATCACGGCATGCAGTCCTATCAGTTCAGTTAAGTTCAGTTTAGTCGCTCAGTCTTGTCCGACTCTTTGCGACCCCATGAACCGCACCACGCCAGGCCTCCCTGTCCATCACCAACTCC